ATATTAAAATCTAAAAACAGTAAATTATTCAACTATTTTTAAAAAAGAAATAAAAATTCCATTTAAAATGTTATGTGAAAGCATTACTAAACCAGATGTGAAAGCACCAAAAATATAAACCATTCCCTCTCAGACAGCCAATCACTAAGGAAGAGCCTGTCTCAAGAGAAAGGTCTTCACCTGTTTGTAGAAGGACACCAAAGATGGGGCCAATCTTGCCTTGTTTTGTGTAATAAGTCACAAACAGAGTAGGTTTATTGAATCAGTGGAACTTGCACAATCGACTCAACAAATCCCTATATATGTAATGCTCATATGATGGTTGCAGTTTACTAACTCCTGGGTAGCTCAGTGGTTTAGGCATCTGACTGCCAAACTGGAGGATCGATGTTCGATTCCCCACAGTGGCTCCTTGACAGGGACTGGAGTTGATGATCCATAGGGTCCCTTCCAGTTCTGCAGTTCTAGGACTATTGTTGTTACACCAAGAAACAGGATTTCAACCAATAGGAATTAATAGCAGTACTTAGTCATCATTAGAGATGGGGGTATCCTATATGAATATCCTCATGCAGCTGGACTTAAGAGGGGTCTGGCCCCTGGGGCTGGACTGTCGACTCACACATCCACTGTCCAGACCGTCCCCTGGTCATCATTCCAACCATCCTCCCGCTCATCCTTCACACCCGGAACACCACTCTCTTCTTGCTCAGCTAGCCACTCCAGGAAAGGGGAGGGAGGATGAGTCTCCCTGCATGGCTGCCAAGTGGCCAGACAAGCGGGAAGAGAGCAGTGCTCCAGGGATGATTGGAAGGATGAGTGGGACTGTTGCCGCCGCTGGCAGACATCTGAGTGGACAGTCCAGCTCTCAGGGCTGGACCTTCGTTAAGTCCAGCTGCATGGGGGTATTCATCTATGAATACAAATAGCCTCATCTCTAGTCATCATAGTAACCTTGTATCCCAAGGAAGGAGAAAATGAGTCCAGTTGTTCTACCACCCTGGAAAGCTGCTAGGGAACAACTCGCTTCCAGGTCAAGGATTCAACTGAAGCCTTGATACTTCCATCCAGAATTCCTATCTCGAACTAGGTAAAGGTAAAGGTTCCCCTTGACATTTAGTCCAGTCGTGACCGCCTCTAGGGCATGGTGCTCATCCCCGTTTTCAAGCCGTAGAGCCAGCGCTTGTCCAAAAACAGTTTCTGTGGTCACGTGGCCAGCGCGACTAGACATGGAAGGCCATTACCTTCCCACCGCGGTGGTACCTATTTATCTACTCGCATTTTTACATGCTTTCGAATGGCTAGTTTGGCAGGAGCTGGGACGAGCGACGGGAGCTCACTGTGTTGCGTAGATTCGATCTTACGATGGCTGGTCTTCTGATCTTGCAGTCCAGAGACTTCTGTGGTTTAACCCACAGCGCCACCACATCCCACCATCTCAAAGTAGATGAAGGATTTATCACTCATTTTGCAGATGAGTCTCCCCAAGTGATGAAAGATGTCTTGGTTGTCCGCACGTGATAGTCATCATCTATGTGTTCTTTTAATGTAATTCCATCTGGTGCCTCTCTTATTTCCTACAAGTTGGATAGCCTTAAAGGTGTTGGCCTCTAACCTGAAGCCTAACATTCATTGATCTCTGAAACGGCTCATGCTCATGGCACACCCAGCCTTGGTGGACTGACTCAGCAAACTGTGAAGCTCCCTACAGCTGGTCTGCTGCCTTAAGGTCCACAGTTGCCAGTCCAGCTCAAGGATCTCAAGACTCCAGGGACCTCAGCATCATGGCCTCAGAGGTCCCTCTTTTCACAGCAGTGCTCAGGCCTCTATTATCAGCAGATTCCTCAGCTTCTGTGTCCATGCTACGGCTGAACCCCTGGCTCATGGCTAGAGATGAACACGCATTTTTTTAAAAAAAATTAATCACCAAATTTGTTCCAAAATTGCTAATTCATCAATTCACATTCATACAAATCAATGCCCCAACGAATATGAATCAGTGAATTTTTTAGCAATTTTCATTTTTCAATTTATTTAGCAATAAATTCCCCCCCCCCTCCAGCACTTAAGAGCCACCAAAATTGCAGGGAAGCTTCCGCTGACTCTACCCACTTTGTGGATAGATAACCTGGATGTTGGAAGCACAATCTTTAACGAATTTGGAAGGATTGCAGAGGAGAGTTAGAAGAAGCTTCTCTATGATTTTGGTCTCTATCTGAAGCACAGTCCTTAACAAACTTGGAAGGATTGCAGAGGAGAGTCAGAAGAAGCTTCTCTATGATTTTGGTCTCTCTAGGTGGCTGGGGGGGATCTTTCCCAGAGGGTCCCTCTTTGTGGGTGTATAACTCAGATGTCCAAAACCCAAACTTGATCAATCTTATAAGTTTTGTAGAGGAGAGACAGGGGAAGCTTCCCTGTGAATTTGTTGTCTCTAGGTGCTGGGGGGGGGAGCTTTTATATGGGTTTAAAGTAAACATGAATTCATTGATTCATTAGGGGAAAAAACCATAAATTGACAAATCATGAACCTTGACAAATCATGAACCGAAACAAATCACCATTTTTTGTGCCCATCTCTACTCAGGACTGTAACAGTGGTTTCCCAAACTCTGAAAATTTAAGATCTAGCAATTACTCAGATCCATCGCCAGCCCAAAACAAAACACCTAGGTTTCTTGTGACACAGGAATATACATGGGTGGACATAAACATAGAAAGCTGCCTTATTCCACATCAGACTAGTGGCCCATCTAGCTCAGTACTGTCTACTCCAATTGGCAACAGAAAACTTTACTGTCACCTGATTTTTCTTTTGACGGGTAAATGCAGGAGTTGAATCTGGGATCTTCTGCAGTTCAAACATGTTTCGTATTGAAATATTGTCCTTTACATAAAGGTGTAGGCAGATCACGATATTGTAATGGTCATGCTCACAAGGAGGTTCTGGGAGTTGTAGTCCAATTTATTTAGCTATAAAATGCACCCCCACCACTTTTATTAAGTTTTGGGCAAGTCTGGTCTATCTACTACAGCAGTTGTCCCCAACCTTTCCCCAACTGCGGACCGGTTGGGGGGACGTGGCATGCTTGCAGGGGTATGGCACACCTGCAGGGGGGTGGAGTCTGCTTGCATGCATGTGTGTGGGGGTGCTCATGCGCATGGCATGCTTGCAGAGGCACAGTGTGCTTGCGTGCATGCATGCAGTGGTGCTTACAGGGGGCTCTCACTTGCAGGGGACAGAGTGTGCTCAAGGAGGCCTGCTTGCATGCATGTGCACAACATGCTCACAGGGGGCGGAGCACACTCTCACGCAGTGGCGCTTGGGGGGGAACCTGTGTCCACGGCTTGGTCCTGTCTAGGCCGCGGACCATTGCCAGGTCACAGACCAGGGGTTGTGGATCCCCATACTACAGTAACAAAATTTCTGTTGCATTCTGACATCTACCCCAGTTGTCGTTTCCAACACAGCCTTGAATCACTGTCCAAGACAGCTGTTTATAATTTTCTAATCATAGAGACAGTGCTGGGTTACACTCTAAACCCGCATCCTTGTCTTTAGATATATCTTTCACTAATTCATCCTCCTTAGCTTCATTAATCAAACTCCACCACAGGAGCTATTTTTAGAAAATGAAGTCATCCCGGGATTACAAAGTATTCTTTAACATAAAACTCACGTTGAATTCACTTGACTAAAGAGCACTTCTTAAAATGACTTGCCATCCTGGTGCATTATCCATTCAAGGGCAAATTGAGGGGGTTTGAGTCACCTCAGAGAAAAGCAAGGCTATGGTTTAACATCTTGCTGCGGGTCTGTTGAAAAAACACAATAAATCATTCCCCCTTGACCTTTATTCAAACCCACTAAAGAAGACACAACAGATAGAGATATATACCACTGTATGATGTGCATGCACACTTATAGAACATTTTTTATTTATTTGAATGTATTTTTACTCTTTTTCCAGAACCTCACTGCTAAATATAATTTATGGTAACAGGAGATGCTGACGTTGATGGGAAGGGATAAAACAAATTCCCATCTTCGTCTTGTCTAGTTTGGGAGATGACTTGTAGTGTTTTACGTTTTCACGTTAGAGTGTATGTATATAGTGTAAAAACATCAAAGCAGATCCTCTCAATGTTGCAGCAACTTGGATGATAATTCCTGCAATTGCAGCCCTCACGGGCATCATACTATTTGAGTATAAAACTATACAGCATGAATTCTTTTACCTGATTAACCAGAAGAGAAAACAGCTATACAGTATTCTAAGAAGGAGAAATGCAGTCTACTCCGTCCCTATAATTCTGTTCCTCATGTGGGGATGTGAGGAATCTGAGAGGCTCTGCAGTACTTACATGACAACAATAAGATTGGAATTAGTGGGGATTTAGAAGAACTAACAATTTTTTTACATTTCCTTGGGCTAACGGAGAAGAGAATTCCAGGTCCACATGTGTATATAAGCCCTCTGCAAGGGTCAAGTGGAGCCTGATGAAAATGATCCCCCCAAAAATGTGACACTTGGTGTCAGATACTGTACCACCTTTCTCATAGGTACACCAAAGAATGTAAGAGCCCTAATGGACCAAGCTGAGGATCAGTAATATGCCACTGTATCCTGCAGTGATCAACCATGTATTTTTAGAAAGCCAACAAGAAACAAAAGCAATAGCATTTGCCTGCTGTTGTTTCTCGGCAGCTGATACTCAACACCACAATGCCTTTGCGTATGGAAATTCCTTTAGTCACCCTCACAAATACTTATGAAAACAGACCGATCAACAGCTCAGAGCAGATGGTGTGGCATTAGTCATATAGCTTCACCAGTTCCTTTTCACTTTCGATTTATTAGTGCATGCACAGCCCATGTCCTCTGATGATGATTTTCACTTTGGCCGACCCCTTTTACTATCAGATGCTCATGATTTGCCACTGTCCTCACAACTCAGAGGGCACTGTGATGACCTTTTCTTCTTCTCTCAAACATTGTGCAGGAAAATGTACCGTAAGCTCTGGATTTGCTGTGTTATCCACCCTGCACCTCAGTTCTCTTGAACAAGCTTCGCCATGCATCTGAAGTCAATTTTCAGTATGTGTGAGAGGACCCTGAAAACAATTCACACTGTCTCCACGGGTGATGGAAGAACCTTGACAAAGCATGATGTGTGTAACACAACCTATATAATTCAGAGCAGATATGATGTTTAGGTGAGCAAGACACCAGTCTTGAGTAGGTGACATTAAAGAACCCCAGCAACAATTACTGTGGCCACATTTACAGAAAACACGTCAAATAATTTTTATTTCAAAAATTAAGGCCGCTGGATAAGAGTCAAGAAATTTTAAAAGCTCTACATTGCTCTTAACCTTAAGTAAACAACTGCCTTATAAATCTTTTAAATTAAAGGTGGAACCTCTGGATCATCATCAAAGCCCGCAGATACATTTTTGGCATCTGCAACATGGTGACGCTGCAACATTAAAGGCCCTTGTGAGATCTGTTCCGTTTTCTGGACAATGTTCGTAACATCTGGAAACGAATACTTGGTAGGATCCACTTCCAACTTCTCTGTACTCTGATTTCTGCAACACAAAAACAATGGACAGGTAATGACTACATGACTGATATGCCCCAGTAGAAAAGGAAGCAAAAGATATTTCTGTTCAAAAGGACTTCCAAGACTATTCCGCCAATTGATGTAAACCAGAACAACCCTTTTAAAGGTGTTAATCTGTTTAGCTTGAGTGTGGCAGGAAAGAGCTTCCTGTGTTGCTGATGCTGTGCTTTGAAATTCTCTTCCTAAATCCTGTGAAGTACGCCATCCTTGAAGATCCCGGAGGAAAGTAAGGTGGAATTATTTCAGAGGGCCTTCGGATGTTATTAAATTTCTACTCCATCACTTATGTGGTGAAGCATTTCTGTGGTTAATTATATTGAAGTATCCAGTGTGGTGTTGTGGATAGAGTGACAAACTAGAACTTAGTTTCCAAAGATACTTGATCAAAATGCCTGCTCCCAGCCAGATCTGTCCAAAATACCCGTTCCTCACAGGCAGGGCGGTTGAGGGCCTTGACCCCAAAGGAGGCCCGGAGGGAAAGAACAAGAAACCGGGCCTTATTGGCGGTGGCCCCCCGCCTATGGAACAACCTGCCGGCTGAGATTCATCTGGCACCCTCGCTGGACGGGTTCAAAACAGCATTGAAGACCTTGCTTTTCTGCCAGGCTTTCCTGGAGCACTAGGATCTCGCCCTCCCATTTTACCATTCTTTTTGCTATCCTCTCCATCACCCTTTCCACCACATTACTGCCATCTGTTTTAATTTCTGATTTGTTATGTATTAATTTATTTTTATCGTGTTTTTAATTTTTCTCTCTCCTTATATTGGTGTTAGCCGCCCAGAGTGGCCTGGTTGCCAGATGGTGAGGGATATAAATTCAAATAATTAATAAATTCCATATTTCACAGAGAATTTAATATTTCATGTTATCCCACCCTACACTTCCATAAGAGAGCTAATGTGATAGTACTGCTTTCTTACCAGGAAGTTTCTGTCCTGGCTGATAAGCAGACACTGGCTGCAATCATGTTGCTAAGCACAGTAAATCACAACTAGATCAATCAGTGGCAACATGGTGTGTCAAGTTCTGTATACAGTATGTTCCATTGATTCAAATGGGCCTACTCCCGTTGTGACTTATTATGCTAAGCAACAGCATTTTAGTCAATGGGTAACTCACAAGTTAGGTGTCAGGCTCCAGAGGTAGGAGTTTGGTTCCTTAGTGAGACAAGCTGGCATTCGAGGAGAACAGCCAGCCTGGGTGGCCTTGGGCAAGCTGCACAGTCCCAGGGCACCCCAAGAAGAAGGGAGTGGGAAACCACTTTTGAGCATATCTAGAAAATGGAGAGAAGGGTATTCACAAGTCAGAACTGAATTGGCGACATGTGATTATTAATTATCTACTTGGCAAGAGCTGTTAAGTGTTGCTGCTTAATTTGCTGTTTGATGTTACTGTTTCTTCCTGGTTTTATTGATATTGGTTTTATGTACAGTATATTCTTTTGTCTGTGTTCTTCCTTCTTTTTAACCACAACATTGCACTAAGGTGCCAATTGACTTAATCAGGAACTTGCTTGCCTTGCTCCGTGCATCACTGAGATATTTTGCAGGCCTCACCAGATCTTTTTTGTGCTGTAGAATTGATACTACAGTTCTGTAGCCCATCTAAACCATCCAAAGAAATCAACAGGAGTCTGATTGGTTCCATATAACTCTTGCTCCAAGCTTAGCCCCTTAGTGAGAACAATGTCATACACAGAACAGCAGTACAGATCCCCTTGCTTTTCCCTGTTTTTTATCATCATTCTGTCTGTGACTACTTGCCTCTTGTCCAACTAGAGTAGGTCTATTTGAATCAGTCCAACCCAACACTGATTCAAATAGGCCTATTCTAGTTGCACCATACTACACTAAAGTGAGTCCACAACTACAGTAGTCCTATTTGAATCAATGGAACTTACAGAAGATGTGATTCACCGAATCCCTATTGATGCAATGGGCTTGCTCTAGTGCAATAGGCTATGCTAAGGCAATAGGATTTCAGCCACTATCTTAGAGGTGCAAGTGACACATGGACAGAGGTTTGCTGTCTTTGTACATTTAATTCTTCCTTTTTGCAAGCATAGACATTATAGAACGGAAGTCCAAGAACTTCACAATGGCAAGACAAACAAAACAAAGACATCATTCAAATGTTCTCCTTGCATGACTCATTAGGGATCTTTAGTTCATCATCAGTAAGTATCACCAAGAGACTATAGTGACAAAGACACTGAAAGTGATGTTACTTTCCAAATCATTTAATGTCTCACTCAGGGAAACAGAACTGGGGGTTCGCTTTGTTAGACAGAATTGTAAAGCTCACTCCAATATATTTCTCTCTGCTGTTCCCTTGTACTGTGTATCATACATAATCCTGGAAATGTGATAGATAGGGACCCTTAACAAAGGGAAAGAAGAAAAAAAACCCCAGAAATTGATTGCCAGCCATCATTCAGAACTGGGTCCTGACTTGTTTTCCCTCAAAAGAACTACTGGCAGCTTTTATGATGCTGTGAAATTCAGAATATTAGGCACTTCTATAATATCTGCTGTCATGTGAAGATGATGTCAGCCGGTGCTAAAAATGTACACCAATCTCACTAGAGAAATATGCTGCCTGCTAAAGCATATTTATCCCATCCTTACGCTCCAAGAAAGTTGGACACACAAAAAGCACTGCGGTTTAACTGCTGTTGCAGCAAGTCTACCAAAAATGCCCACCACACAAAACTGTTAGGCTAACAGATTATAATTACAAAATCAGACGCCATTGAAACCTGTTTCTGCTATGAACCTCTCACTTGTATTTTCTGCCTCACTGCATGGGCAGAGCAGTCCCCTGGAACAAGCTGGTATTTTCATATCAGCACTTCTAAGATGTTATACATCAAGGACCTGGAAGCTTTGAAAGTCCTTTTGCTCTTAGTGTGCTAGGTATTAAGGGCAGCATCTAAAGGCTGCCAACTTCTTTCTAAAGAAATCAACAAAACGATCCCAGCCAAGGTGGAAGTCAGCCAATTCTAACCCTATATGAATCCAAGAAAGCTGAAATACTAATTTGGCTTCTTTTATTATGCATGTTTGTTGTTTTTATGTACCACCAAATTACTTCTGGCTTAGGGGGACTCCATAAATTAATGGCCTCCAAGAGGTCCTGTCATTATCAACCCTGCTTACATCTTGAAAGCCTAAAGCCATGGCTCCCAAGTCAATCTCTCTCATGTCATGTCTTTCTTTTCTCCTGCTTTTCACCTTTTCCTACCATTATTATCTTCTCCAGTGGGTGGAGTCACTTCACAATATGGCCAAAGTATGACAGCTTCAGTTTAGTCATTTTCTCTTCTAGCACTCAATTATGCATCTTTCTGCTGGTCTATGCTATCTGTATAGCTTTCCTTCTGCACAAAATTTGGAATGAGCCAACTTTCTTGGGTCTAAATTGTCTAAATTTCCCTATCTGCACATATTAATCAGAAATATCATAGTATGTGGATGTATTAAGTCAGGTCATAGGGTTAACTTGCCAAGGATTTTGACCAGTTCTTTAGGGCAGTGGTCCCCAACCTTGGGCCTCCAGATGTTCTTGGACTTCAACTCCCAGAAACCCTGGCCAGCAGAGGTGGTGTTGAAGGCTTCTGGGAGTTGTAGTCCAAGAACATCTGGAGGCCCAAGGTTGAGGAACACTGCTTTAGAGCCTTTGGCACAGAGCATTTAACTGGAGATGCAGGGAACTGAAACCAAGCCTCAGTTGGACTTGTGCTGTAAATGCTACAGTATGCTACTCCAGTTCCTAGAGTTCTAATTTAATAATCCTTCCATGGTGTCATCCTCCATGTTTATGGAATCTTGGTTTGGGGGAACTGATTTATATCACTACTTTGAAAAGTTCAGCTTAATTATACAAACGTTCTTTCTCCCCAGTTTTCTCCTGCTTATTATACCTCAATGCACATTTTCACAATTTCACAGTTTCTTTGCCCAGGCTGACTTACCTCTAATAAACAGCTATTCACTGACATTTCTAGTGTGTAAAATTGTGCACTTTCAGAGAGACAGGTAATGGTTTCCCTTTGTCTACACAGAAAAAAACTTCATTCAGAGTTGGAGGATAGGGCTGATCAGGTCTATTACTTCCCATCTCCATATACTGCTGTTAACAAGTAGACATTTCAAGAGAAACAAACTGAATTCAAAAACTGTACATTTGTTGGATTACATCTACTAGACCAAGGGTCTCCAAAGTATGGCCTGAGAGCCACTTCTGGCCCACCTCACCTTTTTATCCAGCCGGTGCATACATGTGGGCATGAGTGCAGGTGGATGGGAGTGCATGCATGCATGCGGGAGCATTCCTTCGGCCCTCAAAAATACCAAAAAGATATTATGTGACCCTCTGTGTGAAAGGTTTGGAGACCCCTGTACTAGACCAAGAACTAAAGGATACGTTTGAGATTAATGCGGAAACTACAGATGGTGCAGAATGCAGCGGCCAGTCTCCTTAGTGAGGTGAAGAAACATCAACATATTATTCCCACTCTGGCTGCATTGCATTGGCTGCCCATTTGATTCTGCGTTGATTTCAGAGTCTTAATGATCACATACAAAGCCCTAAACGGTTTAGGACCTCAATACTTGGCGGAACGTCTCCTCCCACCCAGATCTACTCGTATCACCCGATCTAACCAGGAGGGGTGACTGAGGAGTCTAACACCGAGGGAGGCCCGGAAAGAAAAAACAAGACACTGGGCCTTCTCAGCAGTGGCTCCCAGGCTCTGGAACAAACTCCCCTCCGAGATTCGCTTGGCCCCTTCGCTGGGTATTTTCAGAAACCAACTTAATACCTGGTTATTCAGACAGGCCTTCCCTCCAGGAAATAAATAAATAAATAAAATCATCTATAATGAACCCCAAGGAAAACAGAGGCCACAATCCAAGAACTGCTGCACCTTATTTAGATACGTTGCCTACATTTGAATTTATAATTCCTAGTCCATGAGGTGCATCTGGAGAGACTCTATGGGCCAGCCCTCATGGGGCTCGCAGGTGGAGTGGATGCCTCCCTGTCCTCATAGTGGGTCTAGCTCTGGGAGTGTTCCAAAAATGAACAGGCCCAGTGGCCTGCTTGTCTCAGCTCCACTCAGTGGGGCAGAGCAAGGGAGACCTTGCCCTAGGGGACACGCATCCCTACAGGCAGCAAGCACTGGCCCAACTGGGTGGAGCACAGGCTACACATTGGCTGTCATTTGCCACATGCTGGCATGCTTCCTTCTCTAGTCTTTGAGATTTCCACAGTGTGGTTTTCAGTAGAAAGTAGACTATGACTCAAGAGACTTGGGTTTGAATTCCCCACTTGGCCATGGAAACTCACTGGGCAGGGGTAGACCTGGTAACCCCATTCTTGAAATGTCTCCCTTAGCTTTGAAGCTTTATTTGAGTTACTATAAGTCACTTGACTTGACAATACAGAACATAACATTCCGTGATGAGGTTTTTGAGCTATAATAGATTTTACATCAAAAGTACCATAATGCCTGGCTTTTTCCTTTTTTTTTTTAAAGGAAAACGAAATGCATTTTAACAGTAAGATTCTTTTTTAAAAAAGATTTAATTTTATTTTTTAAAAAATGTGATATAAAATTCAAAAAAACCTGATTCTGATTTATCATCCTGACCAATAAATCATTTATTTTTATCCACTCTGGTTTGGGAGCCATAACAGCCTCTCATTAAATCTACCCTTTTATTTCAATGGTGCTCTTTATGAAGTGTTAGCGCTCTGTGGTTCTCATCATTTATGCAGAGTTGTAATACCTCTTAAGTGCATTACCGTCACTTTCATTCATCCCTACCTCCAATGAGGTTATTGCCATTAAATTAGAATGATCACAAGAACATAAAAAGGTGGAATTAGCTAAACGGAAAAGCCATTTCAATCCCAGAAATATGCCGCAACATTGGTAAGGAATGACTTCCATGAAAGGCAGACAGCCACCAATTTATAAACTTTGCTTGCAAGGTGCAGATTAGTAGAGGAGGAGACTCTTGAGAGTCCCCTGGAATGCAAGGAGAACAAACCTATCTATTTTGAAGGAACTGAACCCTGAGTGCTCCCTGGAAGGACAGATCCTGAAGCTGAGGCGCCAATACTTCGGCCATCTCATGAGAAGAGAAAACTACCTGGAAAAGACCCTGATGTTGGGAATGTGTGAAGGCAAGAGGAGAAGGGGACGACAGAGGATGAGATGGTTGGACAGTGTCATCGAAGCGACCAACATGAATTTGACCCAACTCCAGGAGGCAGTGGAAGATAGGAGGGCCTGGTGTGCTCTGGTTCATGGGGTCACGAAGACTCGGACACGACCTAATGACTAAACAACAACAATATATCAGGGAAATAGTCTGTGTGGGAACACAATGGCTTGGTCCGAACCCCAGACTGAGTTCATCAATAGGGTGTGGAGAGAAACTTCAGTAACACACAAAGTTCTGTGATAAACCAGTTGAAGTAGAACCTTTTTCCTCAAAAGAAGGATTTAAAAAAAAAAGACACTGCTCTACCTATAGGAAATCAAATATCAAACAGAAAACCTCTGATGCTGACGCATAACCTAGTGGCAAGCTCTTCTAGTCCAACCAGTGAAATACTGCTTTTATTCAGAATATGCATGACAGAAATCAAAACCTCCTCAACTCTGCTGGGAGCCCAGCCTGTCTCATATCCTTGATCAATAATACATGTTGGAAAATTTGAGTCCGATCAGCCCTTTAAAGAAAGCCTAGGCTAGACAACTGAAAGTGATGACTTGTTTCTTTCCTACGTTGTTCTGGCACTAAGAAAAGATCCCTTCGTGGAGAGGGTTTTCTCGATGAGGAATTTGAGTTTTAATCCATAACTCTGAAAAAGAGGCTGACAATCAAAAGAATTTAATCTGCAAGTAGTAAAGTTTTCCCAGCCTTGCCAAAGAAGTGGAAAATGTTTATACATGCCCAGGACAAGCCATTAGTAAACTGCCTCCACATAAAGCTTTTGTTCATCCAACTCAGCATTATAATTTTCGCTTTTCAGTACAACTGTCTATTCACTGAGCAACAAGGTGGGGGAAATAAATAACTTATTTCAAAGCCAAAGAGTACCGAGATGCTGCATAAAAAGAAAAATCACAGCAGTTACCTTCGTAAATTTCTTCGCAGTTTATTGGTGTCAGAGGGTTTCTCAAGAGTGGATGCTTTTTGGTTAGCCACAATAATTTCTTTAGCCTGGGAGGGAAAAAAAATAAAGCACTGGTTTTACTGTGATTTTCTGCAGGACAGGAAAAAAATTGAAACACAAAATCATCATTACTATCTTAGGACTGCAGAGCTGGAAGGGCCCCTATGGATTATCAAGCCTTTGTCAAGGAGGCACAGTGGGGAATTGAACTCCCAACCTCTGACTCCACAGCTAGATCCCTGAACCGCTGAGCTAAATGCTTCATAAACAATGTGTTCATTTAATATTTCAATGCACACAATACTTGAATTATGAAGCAAAATTTGTGGGCTAAACTCAGCTCAATAGTTAGTTATATTCTCTGAAAATTTAGAAATAAAGATCTGGAAGACCTTCTGAATGAAGCAAATAAAGACATACACCTACAACAAAACGTATGCCATGTGTAGTGGTATTTACTATACATGACTCATTTCTTCTTGTTATTTCTCTGCCACCAGAGATTGGATACTATCATGGCTTACACTGAATGCCATCTTTGGATACCAAAATAATAAATTCCAAATAGTATTTTGCATCCTCTCAGCTAAATGGGAAATAGGGAAGTCAATGCTCTAATTGGGAAAGGCCTTCACTTTGAAATGGCAGGATGCCCTGGACACACCTGGTACAGGGTACAATACAAAGAAATCAAAAGACATCTAAGACCTACCTATTTTCTCTTCCTGTTGTAGTAAGATCTGGAAGTATTCCACCTTGGATGTATTGCACACATGATTAAGATTGAATTTTGGCTTTTTCCATATGGCGCCACAATAAATCTAGACCTATTTGCCGCTGTGATTTGCACGACTGCACTTACGCCAGTATAAATAGCCAACAGGAATTTGCATATTATGCAGTTTCCAGTGCTCTGGAACTCAGAATGCTGACTCTACTCCAGTCCAGAACCTGGAATAGCTGTGGGTTTCTTTCTGCTTCTTCTTGAGCTACAACTCCCAGGAACCATCAGCCAGCAACCTAAGTAATTAGACTCAGGGGACTCAGCCCAGATAGACTTTGTGTTTTGTGTGTGTGTGGGGGGAGGTGTATTTTGTAAAAAGCACTATGAACAACCAAATATGCACAAGATGGGTTATTTGTGCAAAACTGCCTTCCGTTCAGGCAGACCATCAGTCCATCTGACTCAGAATCCTCTACACTAGTAGTAGCTATCTGGAAGTTTCCATACTGGAGCATTTCACAACTGGATGAAATGCTGGATATAGTGGAGATTGAATAGGGGACCTTTTACATGCAAAATGGATGCCATTCGGAAAGGTCCTAAAGCCACCAGCTCTTTGTCTGCTGTTGGTCAGGGAGACAGCAGAGGGGAAACAAAAGAATTAAACTGCCTTATCACCATTGTTACAATCCTGGTTAAAAATTCCTTGTGCTTATCACCACCACCACTGCCACCATCATTGATGTGGTTAACAAAAATGAATTATGGGCACAATTAGCTAAACTTCTTAACATGATACCATTACATTAGCTCTTTAAGGCAGCAGGTGATCACCAGAATGAAGAAGATGTGTCTGTATTATCAATGGCTGACAGACTTAGTAACTTTCACCACCTTGAGCACCCAACAAATCTGTACTTTTGTAGCATAGGCATCCTTCAGTCTCGAGAGACTATGGTAACATGCTCTGAATCGAGGAGTGTCCTCCCCAGAGCATGAAGCCTGGGTAAGGTAATATGGAGGATAAGCTGTTACCCAAGCAGCAGATCCCCCCTCTCCACATTGCTGAAATGGTCCAATGGAAAGGCAAGAGCCAATACGACTGGTTCCAGCAACGTCGCAGGAGTTGGCAGAACGACACGTCTTCGGGATTCCAGCTCCGGATTTTGCCTCTAGGTTAACTCCTGAAGCCTTTTCCCTCAGTGGATATAGCCACAAGGCAGTGGAGGTTTGAAATTGGAGTTTTCCTTCTCCTAGATGGGGCTGCCTTCCATGGCTGATGAGCCCCACCTACCTGTCCTGCTCTTTAATAGTGCAGAAGTATGATCTGACCCTTAAAACTTTCATTCTCCACACAGGGCCAACAAGATGTTTTTGGGAACCCAAACATCGCACTGGTTTTGAAATAAAGATAATTGGATTTCATCATATGCTGAACCAAGAAGAAAAGGTCCAGTTCTGCTTGTCTGTAACCTTTCAGTGCCCTTGTGACTTGCTTGGGGACAAGGAAGGACATTAATTTTCATACTCAATAAGAGTGTATCTGAGAACTTGAAATGCTTTCATTTACTTGATTCGGAAATTAATTCTCTGCATAATCTTTACTTACCACAAGGTTACAAGAAAGACAAGAAATGGCTCTTTTTGAAAATATAGAAAAGAGAAATGCTGAAAGCTCTGAAAAGATGGAACAAGGACTCCTGCAGAAATATGGATATGAGCCGTACGCTGGTTTAAGAATCCTCAAATGAAGCATATCTGGATCAGTGCAGTTTAGGCATTTCTCCTGCACTCCACGACTCCTTTTCAGCACTCATGATTCAGACCCTTCAGGCACTTAGTACACGTCAGATCCTACGCTGCATTCCCAACCTAGTAACCTCCAGATATGTGCTGCTGCCCACGCTCCTCATTCCCATGCAGGATAGCCAGGTGGGCTGAGAAGGACAGGAGCTCTGGTCTGGTCCAGCCACTTTTGGAAGGCACCAGGTTGGGGAAATGCATCTTACATGTTTTCTTGTAGTTATGCAGCCTCTTGACAGCACTGCCTTGAAGCTTCCCATGGTGGAAAGATAGACAAGAGTTTTTAGAAATGAACTATGCACAATAGTTCTATGCACACAGAGGGACGTGGTGGCGCTGCGGGTGAAACCTCAGAAGCCTCTGTGCTTCGAGGTCAGAAGACCAGCAGTCGTAAGATCAAATCCACGCAATGAAGTGAGCTCCCATCGCTTGTCCCAGCTCCTGCCAAACTAGTGGTTCGAAAGCATCCAAATGTGAGTAGATAAATATGGCATTCGGTGTTTAGTTGTGCTGGCCCCGTGACCACGGAAACTGTCTACGGACAAACGCTGGCTGACTCTAAGGCATGGTGCTCATGCCTGTTTCCAAGCCGTAGAGCTAGAGTTTGTCCAAAGACGGTGTCCATGGTCACGTGGCTAGCGTAACTAGACACAGAATGCTGTTATCTTCCCACCAGGTGGTACCTATTTATCTACTTGAATTTACATGCTTTCGAACTGCTAGGTTGGCGGGAGCTGGGACAAGCAACAGGAACTTACTCCGTCATGTGGATTCAATCAACCTGTAATCATTACAGATGCACAATATGAATTAATTAGAGGTCTAACGAGGTAAGACAGAAGGGATGAACATGAAGGAGACTGGTCACATAGATTTGAGACTTCCTTTCAAAAAAGAGAAAAGGAAAAAAAATTGAAAAATGCAGGGAAGGAGCACACACTGTCAGCATTAGCTTCCATTAACAGAGAATTAGGTTATGATTGGGGTGGAGGAGAAAAACTAGTTTCTTGATTTATGAGCAGTAAAATTATGGCTTGATGGGAAAATAAGAAAGTAGATGGGGAGTAGATGGGGAATCATAGACTAAGATGACTAGCCAACTAATGAGGTAGTTTGAATGGTAGTTGTACGACCAATATGCAACCAGTATTTTATTTATTTATTTATTTAATTTATATGTCGCCCACACTACCCAAAGGTCTCTAATTTTGTGAATTAGCCATATCAGTTTCCATTATTTTTCTTCCATATATGACATGAGACATGGTGGCGCTGCAGGTTAAACTGCAGAAGCCTCTGTGGTGCAAGGTTAGAAGACCAGCAGTTATAAGATCGAATCTACGCAACGGAGTGAGCTCCCGTCGCTTGTCCCAGCTCCTGCCAACCTAGCAGTTTGAAAGCATGTAAAAATGCAAGTAGATAAATAAGTACCACCAGGGTGGGAAGGTCATGGCATTCCGTGTCTAGTAGCGCTGGCCATGTGACCATGGAAACTGTCTACGCTGGCTCTATGGCTTAGAGATGGGGATGAGCACCGTGCCCTAGAGTCAGACACGACTGGACTAAATGTCAAGGGGAACCTTTACCTTTACCTATATGTCACAAATAGGAGCTAAGCCCAGGTAGGAGAGCTTTGAAAACCTGGTGGAATCTGATGCCAGGCACAGAAGTGTGGGTCGAGAGCACTCGAGGTGCTACTGAAAAGGCAGTTTTCCCAGAAAGAAGGCTGCCATAAACTTACAGTCCAGATCCCATGACTGTTCTTTTAAGCATATTATTGTTTATATATTCTTCCAAGTCTTGGTGGCCATCCAGTAAGAAGTTTCTGTGTGGTGCTTTCTGAGATTTGGAATGTTCAAAGGGATAAAATGCATGGGTGATAGAAAAAGAAAGCACAGACAAGCAGATCAAAGTTGAAAGTGCCTGTCAGCATCTCTGCTGAATCTCTGGGCTTACCTTCGGCAAGGTGATAACCAAATGTCCAGTTGTTTGAGATCTTTTAGCGCTGCTATTATCTGGCTTCACTTCTGCAGGAAGAACAAGCTGAAATGTCTGAAAACACACACACCCCCAACACACAAAGATGAGCAATCAACATTTGATTTTCAGGTAGTTCAAAATCATACAATTCATTGCTATGGGCTTATGGAGATACGAAGTATAAAACTAGAAGAATAAAATATTTGTGACCTACATAGAAAATGTGCTGTAATATTAATAGCATGTATTTGATGCAAGGAATTTAGTGACTTGAAGCTTTCTGGCAGTAGATATTAATACTAATCACAATGGGTGATTTTCATCTTGAATGGCATTCACTTATACTATAAGTATATTGTGTGGGTGTGCACACACATACGTCTCAAATGACAAAAAGACAGGCAGATAGCTTATCATACATAGGCATTCTTTCAGTGTTGTCATTGACAGAGGGGCATTTTTAAAGAATGTCATGATATGGTGCTTAAGTTACGCTATCAGCTAAATGAAAACAATTATCCCAAGCTATTTTAGATAGGAAGAATGTTCAACATCTGCATTTAGTGGAATAATCACAAATAGAGTTTCTAAATTTTTAGCTTAACGGAACAGCACCGGCACATTAAAAACCAATTGAACCCGGACAAGACGGAGGTTCTGAGGGTGGGTGCGCCCACTATCGGCGGCTTGGGTGAATCTGTCTTGTTTGGGGGGGTGACCCTTGCCGCAAAGAGTAGGGTTCGCAGCCTGGGGATCCATCTGGACCCAGTGCTCACCATGGAGACTCAGGTGGCGTCAGTGATCTGTACCGCCTTTTTCCATCTTTGACGGATAGCCCGGCTGCAACCCTATCTCGATACAGGAGCACTCACTACCTTGGTTCATGTGCTCGTAATCTTGAGATTAGACCACTGAAATGCACTCTACGCGGGACTACCTTTGAAGTTGACCCGGAAACTCCAAGTGGTGCAGAATGCCGTGTCCAGACTCCTTGGTGGAGTGAGAAAATACCGCCATATTTCTCCTATTTTGGCCATGCTGCATTGGCTGCCCATTCGGTTCCGCGTTGACTTCAAAGTCTTGATGCTTACGTACAAAGCCCTAAACGGTTTAGGGCCTCGATACTTGGTGGAGCGCCTATTCCCACCAAGCTCTAGCCATGTCACTCAAGCGAGTCAGGAGATGAGGCTGAGGAGCCTGATGCCGAGGGAGGCCTGGAAGGAAAAAACAAGAAACTGGGCCTTCTCAGTGGTGGCTCCTCACCTCTGGAACAATCTGCCTCTGGAGATTCATGCGGCTCCCTCGCTGGGTATTTTCAAAAACCAATTAAAAATGTGGATGTTTAGGCAGGCCTTCCCTCCAGTTAATTTCCCTTTCTTTTTCTCTTATGGTTTATTTTCGTGTGTTCTCCATCTTGAAGAATTGCCTATTTAGTGTAATAATTCTTTTTTTATATTTATTCTCGTATTTTATGTTGTAAGCCGCCTAGAGTGGTCGCAATGACCAGATAGGCGGGATATAAATAGAATAAATAAATAAATATAAATGAAGAAAACACACAGTCGAGAAGGATTAAGACAAAACATGTTGGACTTTCTTTGTTCACTGTAAAGAGCAGCTTGGATTAATTATTTTCTCAAAAATGCTTATCTTCAGATATCTCAGGTAAAATGAGTTTTTGCAGGGGGAAAAATGGCTTATGGGTGAGGTCTTTTTCCAGGGTTAAATATACTATAAAAACTTTTTTGGGGGGGCTGGGGGGTTATGCAGTGACAAAACTTCGGAATGACAAAATGAAGCATTTGTGATTTGTATGTTTTAGCGGCTACTTGCAGAGCTAACTGTAGGGTTACTGCGCTTCTTATAGCTGCCCAGCATATCGGTGCTGAAATGGTGAGGGAGTCACATGAGTTTTTTTTTTTTAAACTCTTCACAACAATACCCAAAATGGACCAACCTTTCCCTTGACAGTTACTCGGACATAAGTAGGCTGTACATCAACATCAAGTAGGGAAGTGTCCAGATGCCTTTGGAATGAGGAGAGAGAGAGAGAGAGAGAATTTAGTTTACTGGTTCTCTCTCCCATCCCAGAGTGAGTCATATGAAAAGGCAGGATACCGAATCCATGAACATATGTTAATTCAAAAGCCTATTTGAAATATGCTGTATAACATTCTAGTGCTCAAAGTTACAAAGAAAATCGTTGATTTGTGTTTTATTTTTTTTAAAAAAAAACTTTTACATTCAGGAGCTCTAAAACCCCCAGGAAACACAGCAGATGCTCTTTGCATTTTAACTACCCTAATGCTTCTGACAACAAAGAGTTCTGAGGCCCCTTGGAGAATACATAAAAAATGTATTATGGTGGTGGACAGTTAAGATATTTACAGCCAGAACCACACTGGAGACTCACAAGATTTTTCTAATATTAGCTTTTTCTTTTTCTTTTGAAAATCAAGCAGCGTGGTGAAACCTCCATCCCCTCTCTTCTGCCTTTCTTTCATGCAATAAGTTCCTATTGCTCTTTCTCACATGCAAACACCCTACTTGAGCAGTCAGATTCTTACTGCCCCTGTCCATGCTGGTGAGCAGCACCCTATAACCATGAAAGGAACATAGAAATCTGGCTATTTTATCCCATTAGGGGATACATAAAACAGTACAAGTTCATTTGGATCACTTCCTGTCACCACTTTCATATCAATCACCATGCCTAGAGAACTTGCAAAGAAAAACCCAATAAAGACAGCTTGTAACATTGTGCATTCTCCAAAAGTAGGTACAGTAAGATTGCGGGAAGACAAAACAAAACAAAACAAAACCCAACTGGACCTGTAAACTGAAAGATCCAAGATGAACTGATTGTTTTCTTCATCATGGACCTGTAAACTGAAAGCTCCAAGATGAACTGATTGTTTTCTTCATCATCATTCAAGGAGAAAGGAAGCCTGGAAAAATACAATGTAAATAGAAGTGAGTGAAATACAACATTCTGACTTCAAATGATGGAGATTCTTGATGATTTAACCTTGTAGTTAATGAGACATGTATCCTTTCGTCCACACATCTGCAGAACTTCGAAAAAATATATGAGTGATGTTCTAGTTTATTGCTGAATCTTAAGTTGAAACATGACAGAAAGCGAGTGACAAGGTCAACTTAATTCAGATTTCTGCTAGAAGAGAGACACCTGCTGGTTGAAACCATCTAAAAGGGATAATGTTTGTATATTATCTACATGAAGCAGAATTTTATTTTGCCAAGGATTTGTCATCTCATGTTGTCTCAAATAATTTTCTACAGAGCTCTATATTCATTACTCCTATATGAACATGATTATAAAATTTGCAGACGATACCACCGTGCTGGGCCTTATCACAGGTGGGGATGAAACAGCGTACAGGAAAGAAATCCAGAAGCTAACTACGTGGTGCTCAGAAAACAACCTGCACCTAAATGCCAGCAAGACTAAGGAGATGGTGTTGGACTTCCGGAAACAGAGACAGGAACCAGCCCCACTCTAATATCAAAGGGGGCAGGGTGGAGAGGGTTTCCTCCTTCAAATTCCTGGGAGCACACAGGAGCCAGGACCTCACCTGGAAAAACAATACGTCCCAGGTGGTCAGGAAGGCCCAACAGAGACTCCATTTCCTAAAAGTCTTATGGAAAAACCAGGTGGCACAGCACCCAATGACATCCTTCTACCGGTCAACCATAGAAAGCATCCTCACATACTGTGTCACGGTATGGTACGCCGGCTTAACAATCATGGACAAGAAGGCAATACAGTGGGTGATGAGCACATCACAAAAAATGATGGGCTGCCCCATAACCCCCACGGGAGGAAATCACCAGGCCCCGCTGTCTCAATAGAGTGAGTAAAATCCTTAGGGAGGACTCTCACCCGGGACAGCACTTCTTCATATTTCTACCATCGGGCAAGAGATATAGAAGCATCGCCTGCCGGGCAAACAGGCTGAAAAATAGCTTCTACACATGGACCACCAGGCTTCTAAATGCCACATAACACCGTGACTAGACTTAATATAACATACTCACAGGGCAGTATAACATGTAATATGTACATACCGGTGGAACAATGTGTGTGTGTGTTTATATGTACTGTATATGTATGTATGTATGTGTGCGTGCGTATGCGTGTGCATGTGTGCATATATATATATATATGTGTATGTGTGTATATATATATATAAAAATAATTATATAATTATTATATATAATTATTAATATATATAATTATTATTATTGTCAATGCACAACATGTGTGCAGTGAAATTAAATGAGCCTCCATTGGTACAACCACACAAAGCGCAAAACACAGAATACATTCAGACACAGAATACATCTCCAACCTTATAAACAAATCCCCAACCCCACAAATACTGGGGCTAGACACATTACCTATAAAAGATCAATTCAGGCTCTTCAGAGAAGCTGTGAAAAGAAAATGCCATCTCCAACCTTATAAACAAATACTGGGGCTAGGCACACATTACCTATAAAAGATCAAATTCACGCTCTTCAGAGAAGCTGTGAAAAGAAAATGAAAATCGAGACACCCTGGAGAACATCTTTAAAAATGTTGAGTCATGCCACTTGGACTTTTCTTATTAGACTGAAACATTTTGCTACTCATCCAAGTAGCTTCTTCAGTCTGAAGAGAGTTGGTAGGAGATACTTGATATATCTTCCATGTTGGTAGGAAATCCCTGATATATCCTCCATATCCTTCGCTTCCCCCTGGTCTGAATAGGCTTGTTAGAAGTACAAAGGTCTGAGGGTAAGGGATAATTCCACTTCTGCAATCCTTCTCCACCCATTGTCCTGGATCATTAACAGTTGTGGGTGTGGTCCTGATCTTTCTGGGGTCGGATGAAAGGGCAGCATGATAAATAGGAGAAAGATTGTGTTTAAGGCCTCCACCCCGTTGAATGAAATGCATATGCATACAGAATATGCATTCTATATCCTATTTATCATGCTGCCCTTTCATCCCTCCCCAGAAATGTCAGGACCACAACCACTAGAAAGACCAATGTTAATGAATCATGACAATGAGTGGAGAACTGCAGAGGTGGGATTTTCACTCACCTACTCTGCATCCATTATCCATCTAACAAGCCTATTCAGATCAGTGGGAAGTGAAAGTTTCCTACCAACTCTCCTCAGACTGAAGAAGCTACTTGGATGAGTAGTGAAACGTTTCAAACTAACAAGAAAGAAGTCCAGTTGCCATGACTCAACTTCTAGATAACCTCTCCTGGATGACTGAGAGTCTTCACAGATCTTAAAAAACGGAAAAAGATCTTATTCTCTGGCCCTGCTAAACCTCATCTACATCAAGAGGAACATAAACTAATTTCTCCTATCTGGGAGCAGCGAGTCGATTTTCACATTCGTGGCAGCCACTCATGCTTCCAGTTCTACCATACTATAGCAAACCACGAAAGGAGGTGGTGGTTTATGCTTCTCGCCAATCTGTCAAATAGTCCATCAGAAATAGACTCTCTGTAAAAATCCACTGAAAGAAGATAACAGTATATAACACAAGACTCTGGGGTATAGAGCCTCTTCCAATCTGTCTTGTGGCTCCCAGAGCCATTGTTTGGATCTGTCAATACAACATGTTCAGGTACTAAATATTTGTCATCCTCATGTAAGAAAGCGTCTCCTGTTTTTGTAAAACTGACAACACGTTTTTTTACAGTAAAGTGGAGACACTGATAAAAAATGTGACTTTTCTGACAGACACTGTAGGCAAACACCATGTTTGCTTTTCCTGTCAGTATGCATTTCTGAATTTGAGGCAAGGTGTGTTTTTCCACCCCTCTGTTGAACTATATAGTGAATAAATGAGTGTGGCGGGAGGGAGGGTTGAAAGAATGTCTTTAAGGATACCCAAACACTGGCTTGCTTGCCTGTATGTAAGAATACTCCTTATTGCCCTTGGCTACACAGATACAGTACCTGCAATGTCTTCTCCTCCATCAATCACAATGGACACCAGTCATCATTGAGGACAAAAAAACAACCAGTGTCAAGTTGGATGACAGCCATTTTAAAAAGGGAATAAATCTGGTTGGAACAGAGCAGGAAGGGCAGGCAAAGTAATACCATCTTTAATTCTACATAGGAGATGGGGGGTGTGGGGCAGAGTCCAAACTCTGAATTTAGGGAAGCTCCAAAAAGAAAAAGAAAAAAAGGGGGGAAGGGCACATTTCTTCATTTAGGCCTTGAAACTTTGTTATATGATGCAACTATTTCTGGTAAATTATCAAAGTAGGTCATCACTGCATCGATTCCACTGCTAAAAGCCTCGCCCCAATTGATCCTCTCTTTACATACTTGGGTTCGTTTGCATTCAGAACTTTTCCTTCCGGAGTGATCAAAGTCCTTGGTGGCTTCTCTTTCTTTCTTTGTTCTCTAGGGGGGGGAAAAGGGGAAACAAAGAAAGGGAGACTTTTCAGTTTCGATTATTTCTGAATTCTCATCTTTTCTGTGAGACAGCGAAGGCAAAAGCAAAAAATAAGCCTGTCAGGTATGATTTAGTTTTTTATTGAAAGACAAAGACTATTTGCTTTAATAC